ATCCCTCTTTCCCTCCCTTCCCCACCCCCAGCTACAATCCAAAATCAGAATGTTCCATCAAATGGGAAGCAGGAACTGACTCACCCACACCAATTAAGCACCTCTGAAGCCTTCTAAGCCAGACAAAGGTGTGTTGACTTCCCTTCCTAGAAAAGGAGAGTTGTTGGCTAAGAGAGTGGCAGCCAGCTCCAGGACAAACAATAGCTCCACTTTAGCCTTCCTGGGAAACACCTGCAGGTCAAGAAAAGATAAAATTCTCGGAAGAGGCAGAAGGCCAGCTATAAAATCAAGGAAGGACCAAGACCAACATTCAGGGAAGAGGCGGGATTATCAACTCAACCCAGTCAGGCAGAGTAATAGTGATCCTTGGTATTCTCCCATCAGACTATGACTAGATGATCTTTGTGATGATGACTCTTATTACTACTGTACTGCTGCTACTACCAGGGCATTGTTTGGTATCCTCCATATAGCTCATCAGCTCTAGAAGACCTTGGTTAGTGACTCTATGGGGTGGTGGGAGAGACTTGTAGAAATCCAGGTGACTGAAAGCTTCAGGTTATCCATACTCATCCTGGTGACCTGCAGCCATGGTGGACTTTAAGGACTTATAATTCTCAAGAAACCCACCTTTGGGCTGGAAGTCATAAAAGCGTTCTGCAACATATATTTGGAAGGGTTGAGGCTGAAGAAGCAGTTCTATAGATCGTAGGAAATGTGAGCTAGAAAAAGATGCATTCACATTCAGGGGATTCTCGCCCTTTCCCTCCTCCAGGTTGCCTTGTTGCTGCCTGTGGCAGGAGCGAGAGAAAGAAAAAAAAACTCACACTGTTCATAATTTACAGGCTTATAACATTTATGAACAAGTGTCCAGAGTGCAGTGAGAAATAAATGATTCCTTTTCTCCGGTGATCCTGGGACTTGAGATCACCCAATAAAATGGTTCCATGGTAGTTTCAGAAAATTATGAGTCACATGTGGGGGGTTATGATTTACTTTAGCGAACTGAGAGAGGGCCACTAGTTTAGAGGAGCATCGAAAAGGAGGAGCTAAATTCATGGAGATATTTAGCAGGAGCTATTGACCTATTGCATTTCCATGTTCAGAAGTTGTCTTATCCCAGAGTGTGTGAGGCATGCTTGGAATGGAAGCCAAACAACATATTTCAATCCCAAACATCACTTTCCTGTTAGCCAGGAGTATATAGTTGGCTTGAGAATTGAAGGTGCCTTTGTCTGAGTTAGATTTGGGTTAGATGGCGGTGGAAGGATGTCATTGCACTGGCTCAACCTCTCAAGAGGAAGAGTTTTGTTGTTTCCTCTGATCCACTTGGGATCAAATCTTGCATTGCAGGGTGTGCCCCAATTTTTACTTTACTGAGGGCTGAGAATTGGGTGTATAGAACACCCCATTGCAGTCTAGTAGTCTTCTCTCTCTAACTTTTCTGTGAGTTAAATCATAAGTCTCTTTATCCCCGGTTCATTTTTTTTAAAAAAAAGAGAGAGAGGTTATTATTGTGCCTGTAAGAATTTGACTGTCAAACAGGAACTGTTCCTTTTCTCCTTTTCTCCTTTTATTTTTTACTTTAGGTACATTAATACCCCTCCTATAGCAAATAAATAAGAAAGGAGAAACTGAAAACTTATCCTGTCATTGTAAATAGTAATAATAGCAACAATAAAAAAAAACTCTGTGTGTATTTACATACCCAGTTCCATATGTTACAGAAATAGGTATGTATCTGGCTATGTATGAATGCATGTAAAAGCAGATGCAGGAGCTTTATAGAGGAAATATTACTCTCCCTTTTGGTTACAGCTGCATTTGGCTTGCTAATATTGCCCTGATTCTTTCTTTATAGAACAGAAGCGGTAGTTTTCCATCCAAAAAAAGTAATATACGTGTGTGTGTGTGTGTATATATATAAATAAATAAATAAACAAACACACACACACACACACAAAACACACACATGCATATGTACAGAAGTCATAAAACAACAAAGGCCAACAATTTTGTCAGAAATCAGTGCCATCACCATAAAAGCTATTTATTGGCTGTTTGCTAGGAAATACTACTCTTTCAGTAAAGTCCCAAAATGTTTGGTTTGGTACCTTGCCCATCAAAATAAATCAAGGCGACAGATTAGGAAGTACATAAAACTATATCTCTAGATAATGATATACGAGACCACAATAAATATAAGTTACATGTTGAAGCTGCTGGCAGTTATGGTTGGAAACCCGTAACTCATTCATTTAACCCTGGCGGAATGTTTGTCTTTTAATTACAATTAAACAGCGCACTTGAACATTTTTCCTCCCCCCCCCCCAAACTGTACGAGGAGAAAGAAACAGGAGGGGGAAGGGAGAGATAACTAGCAAAGCAAAGAGTCTAGAGCAGGGACTGTAGAGGGGAGTTATCAAACTTCTGGGACGTTTATTTGCTTAAGAAGCTAAACTATGTAGAATACCAGGGATGATTTAAAAAAGGGGGGGGGGTATTGTCTTTCTGGACAAGAAGTTTCTTTAAGCCCTCTCCATCGCCTCCAAGGAAAAAAGAAGGGGTCTCCCATGGCCTGCTTTCCCAGGATGGAGGTCCCCATTTGGCTTCCCTCTCAAGCCTCTTGTGCCCTGTGGAGACCTGATCAAGAAAATGAAGGGAGATGACTTGGAAAAGTTTTTCCACGTAGCCTGGGCACTCGGAGGCTGTCGAAGAATGCACTGAGTTCCTGACGTTCCTAAAACACTCCAGAAATATTTCTACAGGGCTCCTGCTTTTTAACTCCACCCCCGCCCCATCCCTGGGGAAAAAAAAAAGGAAATAAAGGAAATGGGGGGGGGGGAAGAAGTACTGAACAACCTGAGCTACCTACCAGGAGACAGGAAGGAGAGTCTTGGGTGCTGTGGTCACGCCTGCCCAGGTAAGAAAAGCGAAAGCTTCGGGTGCAGATCCTGCCACAGTAGGAAGAAAACCTCGCCAACACAACGGAGCTGGAGGCCCACAAGTACAGCCATCAAGCGAACCGCTGGCCTGCAAGGGTTCCCTCATTTGGCAGCCAATGGCCAGAAGCTTCCAATCCGGACTGTTCAGGAAGGTCTCCCCCTGCCCGGCTTCGATTACCAGAGGGAAGCTTGGACCAGCTCAGAAAAACCGGCTTCCCTGATCTGGTTGCCTTCGTCCAAAAGAGGAACTGCCTCTTGCACGCAGCAGAAACCCCAAAGCGTCTTGGCGCACCTTAACCGATTTATATATATATATTTGCTTTGTTTTTCTTTCCTTTTCTGAGTAAAACCTACGTATGAAAGATGAAGCTGCTTATCTGGTGAAGTCGCTCCCCCTCCCCACCAAAATAAATAAATAAATAAATAAATAGGCAAGCGACTTACTTGACGTTGGAAACTTTGTTCTCGCCTGGACTAGCCCGCTATAGGAACCCTTTCAAGTTACGGGAAGGAGGGGAAACAAAGTAGGCAAGGCTTGGCCGAGACTTCACCCTGCCTGCTTTTCTCTGGAGTTATTTTGGTGACAGCACCGACCGATAAAGCGCATTGAATCTGCCCGAAGCCCAACTCTCCCCGCTTGCCTCCCCTCCCCTCCCCTCCCAGCCACCCACCCACCTACCCGGCTCTATTACGATGGAAAATTTCTTTACAAAGAGCCGAAACAGGGGCCATGCCTTTAAGTTTGTCTAAGGCGCGTTGAGAGGTACACGTTGAGAGACTTCACTCAGGTCACGGGGGGAGGCTCAGAGGTCAGCCTGAGCCGTTAAGAATAAAACTGCTGGCCTAGAAAAGTTGTCCTCTGAATGAACCCACTTTTTTCCCCCTTTTCCCCCCCTCGAACTTCAATGAAGTACCTTTCAGGCTCTCAACATGGAAGCTGAGAAAGAAGAGAGAAAGAGGGAAGCGGGAGGTGGGAAAAATGGTGGGATGGAGGTTTGGATCTCTTAACATTCTCTTTTCTTTTTACTTTTCTTTTCTCTTCTCTGCCCCCCTCCCCCAAACTCCACACCTCTTCTCAGCTTGCCTTTATGATCATACTCTATGTTTGGGAGGGAGGGGAGAAATTATGTCATGGCCATGTCTAAATTAGATTATTAACAATAAATATTAACAAACTAAAAGACTCTGATTGCAGAAGGGCAGATTACAGAAGATGAAAGAGTGAAAGCGAACTTCAGGGGGGGAAATAAATAATCCAGGAGAGGCTGGGGGAAGGGATAGAGCACTATAAATATGATACAGCCACATATTTAAATAAGAGGTTTACTGGAAGGTTTTAAAAAAATGAATATGCAGACTATAGAGTTGCAAATGTGATCGATGATCCCCCTTGTTTCCCCCACCCCCCCCACCCCTGGCTTCCTAGGCAGACACAGAGAATGCTCCCAATACAAAGTCCCTCCACATTCAGAAACTGATCTTGGTCACAAGGTATCAAAGTGTGTTGTGTATAAGTGTGTGAGAAAGAAGAATGTTAAAACAAACCATCTAGTGCAATACAGGCACATCCATATCAGAGTCAGAACACTTATTAGTTTAAGTATGGAATATCAATGCAGGTATGTGTGAGAGTGTCAGTGTTGCTTTTTTTTTTTTGCAAAACGATGACCTTTCATTTTTACCATGAAAAACTATTTAGAACTTTGGAATTCTTTTTAATCCCTTTATTTTTATCTCTTATTTCACAGAGGGCCTATGTATGAAAAGTGTGTTTACGTTTATAAAACCTTTGGGAAAAACTGAGTGTGCTTGTCTTCTTACAGCAAGATACCAAAAATAGTATATTTGAATAAATGATTCTTTTTTTTTTAAACTGGGAATCTGATAAACATACACACTCGATATATTAAATATGTAGCTGAAGTCATGCACAGTAAATCTCGGCTGTGTTCAATAGCATTTCCTCAAAAGTTAGTCTGCACAGGACTGCAGTCTGAATGCTTATCTATTTTCCCCTCTTGATCTATAAAATAAGGTGGACAAACAGGCCTGATCGTGTGATAAGGAAACACTTTAATTTATAATTCCCATACACTTAACACATAAGTCTGTATTCTTTACTGGGAATAGTAAAAATGATGCCATAGGTTTTCACCTGGCTGCTCTGTCAATCATCTCTTCAACATACATCAGATGGATTGAACAAGTAACAGGCTTGAACTGTCATCCTCTTCAGCTGGACCTCAAGTTTCTTTGTGAAGTGGTTTGTAAACGAATTTGGATGATTACTATTAGGTTTAATTATGCCCCATTTAAAAACCACAAAAATTCTACATTAACCTGAATGGAATGGCTGAATAATTTGAATATGTCTGTCAGTCATTTCCTGGGTGTTCCATAGGCCTTGGATGTGAAACTGATTTTCTTTATCATCATCAGAAGGCTATAGTAACATGCCCTTCAAAAATCATTTCCCCTAATCTTTCAAACTCCTATGTCAGCTGAAATGTAATATATATATTGTTGTCTGATTCACTATCAATGCTATAGGTAGCCCACAAATTTTGCACATAATTTAAAGATAACAATATATGCAAATAAATTGATTCTTCTGCTCTTGCAACCTAACTAATTTCTGCTTTCAGGTTATTAAAAGATTTACCCAATGCAAGTAAATATCCTGCTACTACCATCTAAAAGAAGAGTTGAAAAGCATAATTTGATCGCCTACTTATTTTCCATTTTCAGAGCCTGCTGATCAATAGGATAATCAGTGCACTTAAAAAGGCACTTGCTAAAGTATCTATCTTATCTATCTACAATCACAGTAGAACTATTCCTTGTGCAAACACATCTGTGCTACATTTTTTCCCAGTCACCCTTTCTGCTTCCCCTCAGAAAGTAAACATCTCCAGATTCTCTACAGCACTACTCTTTCTCTCTACTATCTCCAATATATGCTAGAAACTTAGTTAAAGTACAATAACAAGGGGTAAATTTGAGCTAAAGTTGTTTACAGACAGCAAAGGAAAGCAATTAACTCGATAACATGATTAAACCAAGGGAAAGAGGCTCATGTACCTATAAAATTTTAAAAACATGTTTTAAAAAAAGTAATGCACAAACACATCCAGAATCAGCTGAATCTATTTCTAATCAAACACACGTGTATACCTCCAGGGCAAAGATTGCCTGGTAAAAGTGTGAGTTCAAAGACATTGCCCATCTTGTGATGTCACAAAGTAGAAGGGGTGCAAGTCACAATTCCTAAAATCAATGGCAGATTGACAATTTAGCTTCCATGGCACTAGACGACTTAAAAAAAACAACACCACCCCACACCTAACTACGGAAAGTTCTTCAAACTTAGCTGAGAAAGGGTATTTTTACTCAGGTAATTCTGCCCATGCCTATTCTCCCAGCATTTTATTTTTAGTAGCAGGCAAAAAAGCAAAATAACTCACCAAACATTCCAGAGTCAGTCTGTGTCACACTCACTTGTTTTGTTTTGTTTTGTTTTATTGAACAAGGGGACTTTCACATATACACTTAAAACTCATTTATTGCAGGTTTACAATGATCATGTAAAATTAATCCAAAAACACAAGAACCACGACGAAAAGCCAAAAATAAAAATAATAAAAAAAAATCTACCCACTGATTTCCCCCCCTTCAATTCGCTGTCTAGCTTGCTCTCCTTATCTCTTGCTGCTCACATTGAACTAACCAGACGTTTATTAGTTTCTACTAGCTCTTGTGTGCCATCCCCCCTTTTCGTAAAAAAAAAAAAAAAATCTTTCTCCACATTTATACAAGAAGAAAGAAAAGGAGGAGGGGGAGGGAAGCCTTCAATGGTCCTTTTTTTTTTTGTTCTCCATGTGTAAACTCAGAGAGCAAAATAATTACATTCTTTCCTTGCCTGTATAATTATTAGCATATGCCCCGATTTTTCATCTAAAACAGAACATTTAGTTCCCCAACCCAACACGCACACTTATATACATACATACATACATCCCCATGCAGACACATCCGCATACACAGCCCATCCTTCCATTCTCTTTCCTTTTTTAAAAAATAAATAAAACCCTGAAAATGGTGATTAAAAAACCCCCCCCAACAGGTATGCCACCTAGCCTCTCATGCTAATAATACATGCACCTAAAGCTTGAGATCTCCAATAGACCTCATTCTTTTGTGTATGTGTATGTATGTGTGTTTTCTCTCTCTCTCTCTCTCTCTCTCTCTCTCTCTCTCCTAAATATATATACACGCACGGGAAAACTACGAGGAAAAAAAAACCCCAAAATATATAGATATATATTAGATTCTATAAATAATCAGAGTCAATTTGCATGGGGCGTTTTTTGTTGTTGTTGTTGTTGTTGGTCGGTTTGTTTATAACCTTGTAATATCCTCTGCTCGTGGCTCCTGAGCTGAGCTCTGCGAATGATCTTCGCCAGCAACCGCGTTGGAAGAAGAAGCGGGCAGGGAGCCGGCTGAGGAATTGGCCGGAGCCGTGGATCTCACTTTGGTATTGGGCAGTCGGTGGTCTTTTTTCCATTTCATCCGCCGGTTCTGAAACCAGATCTTGATCTGTCTCTCCGAGAGACATAAGGAATGGGCGATCTCGATGCGCCTCCGCCTCGTCAGGTATCTGTTATAGTGGAACTCTTTTTCTAATTCCAAGACCTGCTGACGGGTGTAGGCAGTCCGGGACCGCTTAGGCTCGCCTCCATTGTAATTAGGGTTCACTGGAGAAAACAAACAAACAAGCCAAACCAAACCAAAGATTCGCATGGATGCAAGGAAGCGGGGGAATTGGAAAGGGGGGGGGGGGGGGAGGGAAAGAGAAGAGCCGGGGGGATCCCCGGCGGCGCAGGGCGCCGAAAAGGGGGGGGGGGGGAGATCGAAAGAAGGAGAAAAAGGAGAAAAAAAAAGGGGGGGAGCCATCCGCCTACTGGGTTATAAAGAACCCAAGACTTTTTACTCCTAAGAAGAAGGGGTTTCCTTGGCTTGGGAAGAGCCTGAATTATTTATGCACCCCTCTCCAAGCCTTTGGAGTTTCACACATACATAACAGAACGAACCACATGGCTGGGGCTGCCCAGACTAGCTCGGCTATAAAATTTATGGTGGGTGTAATTACCCGCTCGGAGTCGTAAATCCAGCTCAATTGTGCTAACCCAAAGACTCTCGTCGAAGGCAAAGGAGGAGACTGGGGGAAAAGGGGAGAGAGGGAGGGAGAGGGAGCCTGAGAGCTTGGTGGGAAGCGGGGGGGGGCCGCAAACACACACACACACATCTACACACACACACACACACATCTACACACGCATCTGAGAGAAAAGGAGCAGAGGAGGAAAAGTTGCCTACCAGTACTGACGTGGATTTTTTTCATCCATGGGTAGACTATGGGTTGTTTAGAGGCCGTGCTGCTGGGATGCTCGGGGTTTTGCTGGTTGCAAGCTGGAGGGGCTGGGGAAGGAGAGGTAGCCGCGCTGGAGAGAGCCGTTTGGTCACAGAGCTGCTGCGCTTTCTCGGGGAGATGGTGGCCTCCGGGCGTCTGTCCATGGCCCCGTGGATGCGCGGAGGGGTTGCCGGGACCTTGGAGGCTGGCACAGCTGTACTGGCGCTCGGGGTAGCTGGGTCGCTGTGGAGGAGGAGGAGGAGGAGGTGGTGGCGGTGGAGGTGGAGGGTACAATTCCTGGTGATGATGCTGGAAACTGGACTCCCTAGTCCGACTGTAATATTCCGGACTGTGGTCTGGGATGTAATTATTTTGCGAATATTCTTCGCATGGAGGAAATTTCGGATCGATGTAGTTAGAGTCCATCAAATACGAGCTCATGATCATTAATTTCTGGAGTGGAAAATAATTTTTCTCGCTTTGTCGTTTTTCTGCTCCATAAAACCCTCCTACTAGCTGGCGACCCCGTAAAGTTACTTTCACCATGTGACTCGTTGCGCCAATCACGCCAGCCGCGCTAGTCCCCGGATAAGGAACCAAAAGCTTATTCAAAGTGTATCCAATTTGTGTGCGCGCGCGAGTGTGTGTGTGTGTGTGTGTGTGTACACGAGCGTGTGCGTGTGATCTTCTTGTTTGGTCGGTGGTCTCTCTCTCTCCCCCCTCACCCAATTCCGAGCAGAAGGGAATTGGGTGAGGGGGGGAGGGTAAATAATGCAGGCAGCCAGAAATGGCTCTTCTCTTCTTTGCCTTTCCTTCTTTTCTTAAAGGACCACGTCAAGTCAAGGAGGTGATAGAAATAAACTCCATCATTTTTGGCAGAGAGATGGGAATGTAGGAAAAGCTTCTTCCCATTAGGTTTTCCCCACCCTAACCCACCCACCGCCTGTCAGGTACTCAAGCAAGCCCTTTCTTGTACACAACCAAGAATGGAGTGAATCTCGCTTAGGAGAAACACCCAAGATCTCTCTTTGCAGGGCAGGGAGAGGAAGCGCGCTCAAAATTGCATTGCTTGTTTCACCTTAAAAGAAAATCGGGAAGGGGGGGGGAGGGTGTTGCCTCCGCCTCCCTCCCCTCTTCCCCAGAACTCAGCTAGTATAATTGTCTGCAGAAGCGCCCTCTCCGCCCCTCCCCAGTAGACCACAAGCTCCCTTCAAGACGCTCAGGCTGAAAAGTAGGAAGAAGTTCAAGATTTGCATGCCAATGATTTGTGGGCAAGAGCCGTGGGGGGGGGGGGGGGGGGGGGAGGGGAGAGACAAAGAAGTCAGCTTACCTGCGAGGGCAGGGGAGGGGGGGTTGGGAGAGGAGCAGGGGCATATGCAAATCACCTTTGCGTCATTTGGAGTGTTCTAGGAATGCTCATTAACCTTTGCTTAAGGGCGATCTGAGGAGTTGCAAGAAGAGCTGGAAACTAAAAGCGGAGGAAGTTCTAGGCAGCCATTGGGCAGGTCCATTACCCTTCCGAGGGTGGGAAGGGGGAATGAGAAGGTGACAGTAAGGAGAAACACACAGATAGAGGCTCTCTTCATTTAGATGCGGACTTCATTCAGTCAAAGGTTATGGGGAGGGGGGTGTTTTATAATTGGGGGGGGGAAACTTGCACACTCTACACCCATCTGGACTGAATGTAAGACAGAAGGATGATAGTTATGCCCCATCCCCGTACAAGAGGTAGGCACGACACACACACACCCGACGCCCCCAACTAATAGAAAAGTATAGGGCCTTAATTCAGAACATCTGGTTTCCTTATGGAAATAGGAGTGGACAGAATATATGCCCAGATGCCAATATAAACAGACCCCTGGGTAGGCTAAAGAAGTTGATCTGAAGCAAACATTTTAAAGTGTTCATTTATTGCAGCTAAGGGCTTTATCTATAGCCTACACGAAGAAGAAGGGGGCACCGAGAGTTGGATTAATCCCTTGTATTGCTTGATAACAATTATAGTTGAAAATCATAGCTTGCAGGGCATTGCAATATTTTACTTGATAACAATAAAAGTGACACATAAAGTTAACTGTTTATGTTTTATTTATTAGACTAAATGTGCCAGCGGTGTCGGAGGCTCTGGGCTGGTTGTAGCAGTTTTTATGGGGCTGTAAAACGCCATAAATCAGTCACTTGAAATGGTTAGGTCTCTCTCTCGCTTTCTTTCTCTCTCTCTCTCTCTCTCTTCCTTTTCCTCTCATGCATGTTCTCTCTTTGACAAGGGCTTGTGCAAGCCTGTGTTTGCAATCTGATTGTTTCTTCTTTCCAAGAAAAAAGTAATAATTGTGGCTTTTATTATCAGGAGAACTATTTACCTTTCTTTTTATTTTAACTATTTATTCATCATCTAGTTATGAGACTCCATTAGATCTATCAAAATTATATACACACAAAAATATACATGCATCACCCACCCCCCAACATTTGAGATTTTTAATTACATCAGCAAGTAAGAGGAAATCAAAGAAAACAGAACATTAGCAAGCTTTTTGCATCATCCATATATCCCCCTAGAGACGAATTTGCAATAGAGGTGCTCACACAAATTCGATTCTACAGGGTATATATAAACGACTGATGAGTTTGTCCTTTATGAGACTAGAAAAACCTGAGAAATATATTCCTCCTCTTTCCCAATAATCTTTCTTTCTTTCTTTCTTTCTTTCTTTCTTTCTTTCTTTCTTTCTTTCTTTCTTTCTTTCTTTCTTTCTTTCTTTCTTTCTTTCTCTTTCTTTCTTTCTTTCTTTCTTTCTTTCTTTCTTTCTTTCTTTCTTTCTTTCTTTCTTTTTTTCTCTTTCTTTCTTTCTTTCTTTCTTTCTTTCTTTCTTTCTTTCTTTCTAAGCAGGTTTACAGAGTTCCAAAAAAAGCCTTTTCATAAATTAAACTCTTTCTAGCTATGCACAGTTTTGGTAGATTTTAGCAAGATGGAATCCATTCACTTTGGTAATTAGGCCTAAGAAAGTGATTTCTAATTGGGCTACAGCTTATATTTATTGCATTTGGACATTTAAAAAGAGTACATCCAATAAGTACTTAGTAAAGCCCACCCAGCCCTGTTCCTTTACTGAATGCTTCTCATGTGCAGTATTAAAGGGGAAAGTACTGTTTGGGATGGTACTCTACTCATCTATGGGTATCTAATCCTTCATTTGAATGGTTATTTACTGATTAACTCTGGAAGAAGAAAAGGAGGTTGAAGCTGGTTTTATATTCCCGAGGGAGAAAGTTATTTATTATTGTATACAGTATATATCATTCTATTCTATTCTATTCTGGTCTATGACTATAATAAACTGAATTGAATTGAATTGAACTGAAATTCTATTCTATTCTATTCTATTCTATTCTATTCTATTCTATTCTATTCTATTCTATTCTTGAAAATGCATTAGTCTTGAATCACCTTATTATAAATATGCCTTCCTCAGCCTGGAGTCCTCCAGATCAGTTGATGGCTGGCAGCAGAGTATGAGTGATGTAGTCCAACATAGTGTAAAAGGCAAAAGAGAAATATTGTGAGATTAACTCAGCAGTGTACCAAATCCCATTGATTCAGATAACTGTCCCTAGGAGAGGAATTCTGATACATGCTCGGATAGGAACAATTCGGTCTAATGTATCTGTTGCTATGTGTGACAAGCAAAAAAGAAAAGAAACTGGGAAATGGGGTGGGTTGTTTCATCTTAAAATCATGGCATAGAAGGTAAACTAAATACATGTCAACTGGGGGGGGGGGGGGGAATGACAAAGATTTCTGATTTTGCAATTATTATTAATGCCAGAAGGTTTTTTAAAATGTCTTTTTTATCTCTTTTTTTTTTCCTGAGAAAGAGTACCCTAGTATTCTAGCTGCTGGTAGTGATGGTATCTTTACTCCTGGCTCTGGTATTACCACCAGCTGCAGCAAGCAGCATTTACAGCTGTTTCTTCTGAACTTTGCATATCTCAGGGCTCTTATCACAGGCATTTACCTTCCTAGTGCATTTTATCCCACTGCATTCACAGGGAGATCAGGAAATTTCTTGCCTTGTCTCCTTTTTATAAATGTTAGCAGAATCCAACCTGATGGCAAGGAAAGGGATATAAGAAGTTTGAGTTTTAAGCACCTCTCAGTATTAAGGCTCAAGAACCTTAGGGCTGTTCTGGGATAAGGAAGAACTCTTGAATAAACCTGTTTGGCAGGCACTGCAAGATCATGCCAGCAATTTTGGAACTTAGATGAACTTTTTAACTCTCTAGAAAATTCAGTGGCAGGATATCATCCAATTCTCGCAGGAATGCTTGGAAGTCCAAACCAACTGAATTTACTCCCTAGTGAAGGAGTGAGTTTACTTGGTTAGCTGAGCCAACCATTTGATTATTTTTATTGTTATTATTTTCAAATTTATTTATTTTGCAACCCAAATTGTGATGGCTTGGTTTCTTTCTTTGTGTCAATTTATTCCCTTTCCTCTTCATATTTTGACTTAGGTACATTCTTTTTAAGAAATGATTTTTCTCTCCTGAGTTATTACCCCCTCTCCCCCCCCCCCCCCCCCCCCCAAAAAACCTCAGTGTGTTTGCTTAGCTTGATTCCTTCAGGGTTTGGGGACTTTTCTTCTTATTGTCCCCATCAAACAAGGCTCCAAAACCCTGTGGGAAAAAACAAAACAAAACCATAGTGGAGCACAAACCTCTTTTGTTTCTATTTAGCATCCTTCCCTCCTTAGCCTCACTTTCTCCTAACCGGCAAACAAAAAACAAAAAACAAACAAACAACGTGGGTGACACACATTATTTCTGTAATAATTACTTCGATCAGCAATTGCAAAAAGAAATAGAACTTCTCCGGGGAAATCATTCCTGATTCTTAATACCTATCCAAAGCAGGGAATCGGGTTGGAAAAACATGTATCTTTTTGCTTCCCATTTCCAGGACTATTTCTGAGTACAAAGCGTCCCTTTGACAGTATGGAAGAAAAATAAGTGCCCATTGTCCCTGCGGATTCATTGTGCAAGCTATTACCATACTGACCGCTTGGTAACCCACACCTCTAGCCATTTACAATCTGTGCATCTTGGATCCACCCTCCCCGGGCAAATAAATAAATAAATATAAGCATCCCCCCACCCCCAAATGCAGTATCAAGCCACAGAGGGTTTGTTATTTCCCTGTTTAGCGATCCCAATAAATATTAAATGAATAATCCCCCATCACACAAAGCTTTATCGTGCGAGCCATATACTCTTTAATGTTAAGTATAACCAAGGCCATTCCCTAGCCGAACAAGGCGGTCATACACGTGCACACACAGATACACAGACACAGGGTTTTGTTTTGTTTTAAAAAAAAAAACACACACACACACATCTCAAAGCTGTTATTTGCAGACACCTGAAAAGATCCAAGAATATAATTCAACTTCCAAGCTTTTCTATGCACCAGAAATTACTTTTTTTCCTACGTGAACAAAATATTTCATATCCCTGATCAGGGAGTTGGACTCTTTTTTTGGATCAAAAGATTGTTCACTGACTAGATGGGAAGATGTGTGTGCATGTACTATGTATGCGTGGGTATGGTGAGAAAAATGTTTTTGGGAAATGGGGAGAGGAAGATCAGTTTTACAGAGCAGAGTTCTTTATAGCACATTATTTGAATATCAAATAAATAATCCTGTTTTCATTAAAAGAAACCAACCACAAATTAGTAGGTATGAAAAAAACCACAAAATCTTTCCTCATTGGCCCTTCTTCCCCCTCCCCCTTTCTCTTGCTTCCCACAATGTCAGGAGGTAGATCTAATTTATGCAAAGAAATATGCAAATGTTTAATTGATTTTTTCCCCCTTAAATCTCTTGTCACTAAA